AAATTTTTTTTTTAAAAAAAAAATTTATTTGCCTCGTTTTTTAAAAAAAAAGCACAAACATTATTATTCCTTATTTGATTTATATGGGCACCTCTCAGCTCATGCAGCGTAGCAGGTTTTGAAGCAAGATATAAAATGCTTTAGAAACACATGCACACACACATGTATAGGACAGCAACAGCCACCTGAGCACTTTGCTTTATGAGCAAAAAACATTTCTAAGAACAAGCAACTCCTTTGTTTTTAGAGTAGAGTCTCATAATATTTCTAACTGCTAGTTGTATTACTTCATGTAATCCAAATCTCTAGAGCATTATGAAGCACTCATGATTAAATTTACACACAGGTCGTCTTCCAAATTTCATTGCCAACACCAGGTTCTGAGTGTGTTTGCAAAAAGGAAACTAACTTAGGCTAAATTGTCAGATATTTTCTAAATTACATGCATTTCTAACAATGGAAAATGTGATGAGCTGTTGTTCTGAGTCTTTGGTGATTTCTAAGCAAGTAAGTTTAAAGGGAGCATAAACAAGGTCATAAGACAATGGATTATAACCGAAGCGGTTAAAGATCTTCTAAGCAAAAAATATGGGAAAAGTTAGAAATAGATGGAGCTAAGGAAGTGCAAGTCTTCTGCCATGGTAAGTTAAGAAGCTTTGGGTACATCCTAACACACACTCTCACGTCTTTTCTTACCCCACTCATTCCACCTACAGACCTCTTTATCCTGCTATCAGACCTAGTTACAGAGAGATCCTAAGCAAGAACAAGTTGATCTTCTGTCAGTTTTCCATTACATTTGGATTGCAGTGGGCTAAGTAACCAAGAGGGTGGCTAGGCACAACAGTAAGTAAAAAGTGGTCCTGCCAAGCAAAATTCTAAAATATTCCCCCAATACGCGACAGTGAGAAGCCCTGAAAAAATTGAAACTGATTTTGCAGAAATGTTGCATCCTCAAGGTCATATTTTGCAGAAATGTTGCATCCACAAGATCTGAATCAAGTAAATATCTTCTACCAAAGCAATTCTGTCAAAGATCACCCATTTATTTCAATTAAAAAAGGTACTATTTAGTTCCTTTGAGTATGTGAGTGGATTGATGTTAACTGTCTGGATTGCCGTTTCGTTTATTTCTCTGACTGTATTTCTATCTATTTTGTGGTATTTACATTATTTTTATATCCTGGGCCGCCCAAAGTCAGCGGGGAGTTGGGTTCCACTGAAGTTGAATTAAAATGGATAAATAAATAAGCACTATCACTTCCACCCTAACAAACCTCCATGACCCCAAATGGCATCATCCAAACTTCAGCTGCCAAATTTTGGGGCAAGCTGGGGGAGGAATTAAAGTAAAACTGAATTTGTTTGCCTTTCAATTCCTATTCCTACCCTTAATTCCAGAAAAAGAGCTGGTTGGGGGTTCCTTACCCATAATTTATCATGATTTCTTGAATAATCCACTATTACTTGGGGCAACCCAATAAGCCATAAATCTATTGTCGAAGGCTTTCACGGCCGGCATACGATGGCTGGTGTGGGTCTTCCGGGCTGTGTGGCCGTGGTCTTGAAGTCTTGTTTCCTAACGTTTCGCCAGCACCCGCATGTTGCTTTCTTGGCGCATGTTGCTTTCTTGGCGCATGTTGCTTTCTTGGCGCATGTTGCTTTCTTGGCGCATGTTGCTTTCTTGGCGCATGTTGCTTTCTTGGCGCATGTTGCTTTCTTGGCGCATGTTGCTTTCTTGGCGCATGTTGCTTTCTTGGCGCATGTTGCTTTCTTGGCGCATGTTGCTTTCTTGGCGCATGTTGCTTTCTTGGCGCATGTTGCTTTCTTGGCGCATGTTGCTTTCTTGGCGCATGTTGCTTTCTTGGCGCATGTTGCTTTCTTGGCGCATGTTGCTTTCTTGGCGCATGTTGCTTTCTTGGCGCATGTTGCTTTCTTGGCGCATGTTGCTTTCTTGGCGCATGTTGCTTTCTTGGCGCATGTTGCTTTCTTGGTTTGATGGCTCTTTTTATAAAACCAAGAAAGCAACATGCAGGTGCTGGCGAAACGTTAGGAAACAAGACTTCAAGACCACGGCCACACAGCCCGGAAGACCCACACCAGCCAAGCCATAAATCATTTTTTACAAATTACAGTGTCTATACTCACGCAACATGCTATGTCAGCATGAATTATGGTTTAGCATGAACCATTATGGTTTAGCATGAACCAAATGTCTGTCTAGCCAACATCTTCCATACAAAGAACATACTATGTGTATTTGGTACACAAATGTAAACTTCAATGCAGAAAAAAGCTTATTTACCTTAAAGGCTACAAAACAATGTAGACAAAGCAGAAGCATCACAAATGCCAGGATCAGGGTGGCAAAATTCCTCAGATCCCAGATTGATTCAACCAAAGGAATACTCCCAACCTGCCAGTCATAGCACAGCGTAACTGGGGCTAGCAGAAGCCAGGCGTTGAAGACCAGGAGGTAGGAATAAGTTAGAAACCTGCAAAAAGAGATTCAAAGTTCAATAGTCTGCATGTTTCTCCAGTGGAAGGCAGTCAGTTCAGTAGGGCTACACAATGCCTCAGAGTCAACCTCCCAAAGCTGGTTCAGAGCATGCACTGCATGATCGGGGGGGGGAGGGGAGCAACACAAAGCTGCTTTAAAATGTTGCAGAGAGGTGTTATGTTCATGGTCCTGCATGTCCCAAAGCATTTTTAGGAGACTGAATCCAAAGTGCAGCACGGCCCTAGCGTTCAAGTTCTCAGCACACCCAGGCTGGGTTAATGTTAACCATGGATTACTGAATCAGCCACAATACTTCACGTACTATGCTGAGTCAAGCATATGACAGCTTAGCACACTGTGTGGACCCAAACCGTGTTGAGCTTCTTGGAGAAAACAGAGTATGCACATAACAAAGAATGAGAAAACCTATTACTCACATATTAGCTTTTTCTAAATTTAGAACTTAAGAAATAAAGAGATCTGACTGACATGGGAGGAAAGAGCCACCACAGGGGAGATCCCAAGGAAATAATGAACAATGGATATCAAATTACAGTAAAAACAAAGCTTTACTAAGTAATAAAAGCAGTATACTTACACAGGGGACTTCTTGTCCCATTCAGCCATGACAGACGGTGGGAGAGGCAATTCATCATGATGTGTGTGTACCTATGAGTTCTTTAGCACTCAGGTTTATAGCCTTGGGTTCCCCTCTCCCATCCAGCACTGGAAATGGTGGCAGAGCACATAAATACGGGATTCCTTTTTCTTATGGATCAGCCAGGCTAATTACGTTTTATATTAAAAACTGATTTTATATGGTCTGGTAATATGTGCAAACTCAAGGGGGAGCAAAGATTAATCCCAGCAAAATATGGGATACCATTACGGGAAACAAGAAAACATTGAAGGCTCCTATGTCATTAAAACTTCTAAATATAGTTAAGACAACACAATGCACCATATTATATTAACCCAGAAAGTTCTGATTTCTGCAAATGTTCTTCTGAATTCTGCATATAGACATAAAAACATGATATCCAGAGCTTCTCTTCTTCTCATTGTGAAAATATTAAGGGATATTAGATTTGTTCAACGTGTTACATGCCTTCTCAGAAATTATATTCAACAAAAACATGAAAAATATGGTTATTAATTCAGTGCCTTTTCATTGGCCTGTTGTTCTTGGTACCTCTTAAATTCCTCTCGTACCATCTGCCAACTGCGACTGACTGACTTGCTTCCCAAATTCAAAAACATTCATCATATGCTGTTCATAGTAGTCAGGTTCACATCTCAGCTCATCACAACAGAAAATCTCTTGGCTACTTTACTTTTTGCCAAATAATGAAAGCTCTCATTAAATTTGAACAGTTTAGAATTCATTTGCCAAACATCACAGTTGGACCAAAGACAGCTCATACTGATTCACTGCAAGCCTGTTTGAAAATCCATGGATTCCATCTGTGGCAGCAAACACTATCAGAACTGCCTTCCCATTTTAATAATGTTGTATCAAAAGCGAGGGTTGCCTGCAACAAGGGGTATTAAACTTAGGGCCAGAGAATCAAGGCCCTAAGAATCAATACAGGACGGCTTTCATTAATGTCTCTTCAACTGCTTTGCAAAACATATTGAAAACTTGAAGCGTATCTCTAGAACTAATCCATTTGGTATCGCTGATATAACCAACCTAAGAAAATGCACAAAAAACTGAGGTCTACTAAGGACACAGATCTATAATTGGGTATGAAAAATAACACAAACATGTATGAATATGAAATATCAAATTGAGATTCACTCTGTATACCTCCACCTGCCTCTGGGCAAAGAAGAGAACTTTATAAAAACTAATCACACCAGACTGTTCAGCTCAAACAGTCAATTTTGAGCAGGCAGTTTTCCTGGGCTGAGCTACAGATTGATTGATTTATTTATTTATTTAGATTTCTCCCCCGCTCATCTCCCCCCAATGGGGGACTCTGGGCGACTCACGCAGAACATTAAAACCATAAATACATATAAATACATAAAACATCAAAATTTAAAAACATTAC